ATTTTAATAATACTGCTTTGACACTTGTATCCATTTGAAACTGATTTTCAGTACCTTATATTTCCAATTGTCAAGACTTAGTCTGTACTACAAAATTGGATGCAGTTTTCTCAGAACAATAACTAGTGTTTTCTAACGGTTTATTTTAATTCGTCGTACATGCGCTTTTTAAAAATTCTATGGCACAGATTGTGTATCAAAAAATTGGCCCGCACACAGGAGATAAAGTACTCTGCTTTTAAAAAACTAGAAAGCTCATTATCATGTTCACAACTGTTCACCATTAAAAGTTATTCTGAGCCAGCTGAATGCTGTCCACAGATCCATACCTTATTTCTCTTTACGACAAATTTTAATATTAGAAGGCTATTTCCACCACGAAAGTTATCTCTTCACTTAAAATTCTTTCGACTAAAATTTTGTATGCCTTTATTATTTCCTTTATGAACGCTACATATCATTTGTACAAAACAAAGGAAAGCGATAATATGACAGCGAGAATAATTAGCATTTAATTAACATATGTACACGCGAGATGCAATAACATCGGGGAACTTAAACATAGAATTCAACACTCTCTTTCCTTCGATATTTTAAATGTTTATTGCTTCGTTAAAGTTCGTAATGTACTTAATCCCTTTTTTTTTACAGTTAATTTCTACACAAAAGAGCATTGGTAAAAACAGTTAATAAATTTATCTACACCAACGACCAGATTTACGTCTGAAACAGAACAATACTCGGTTTTTGGCACTCAGTGTGTTAATTCAGAGTTTTCTCTGTCGACATAGCAGCTGTTGCCAAGAGACCCTTACCTGAAAATTCTTGTTCATTTTTGTGTTTATGATTGAAGGTTTGAATCCAAGTAGCGCTGCTGGTATTGGTCCAGTACTCGCTGTGAACTGTATTGTCTCATGCGTTCATGGCTCCCTTATATACTTACTCTGATCCATATCACAAAGACAGTTTGTCCTTCGCTTTCATATATGTGCAAAGGTGTTTTAGAAATATTTCTTTAGCATACGGAGTCCTCAGACACTCCTTCAACAACTTGGTTCACCTTCCACTACTAGTACCACCCCTCAAACGACAGTTTCCTGACATCATTGCTTTGGTTTTAATCTTCGGACAAAGAAAGAAATCTAACATTTCTGGAATGGATGTAAAATAATAAACAAGTATATTCCATTGCTGGCCGATTGGATAATCACTCAGATAATTGTTAAGAGGACAGTTTTCATGGCCACCTTTGACTATTAAGAACGATTAACTAAAACGCCAAACTTTAGATCCTATCTTCAAGGTTGATCTGGATATATAAAGTGGCATATTGCAGGAATATGCACTACTAACGAACAAAGCTAATTCGACTTTCTCCCGGTCTAATGGATCGGTTTTATGAATTATGAAATTAATTACGCAGTATTCTTATCGCTCTGAAATGACTTAAAAAGCTTCCCCTTCACACGTCTAGAAATTAATGAATGGGAATTTTGATTAGAATTTAATTTATGTAGAATCTTGAAGTAAGACAATTAAATTTAAATATAATACTCTTTCACATTAATTACTAAACCTCGTCATGCATTATTGGCTGCGAGAAGTAAACCAAACAATTTTGGCAGCAATAAATATAATTTACAGCAGTGAATTCTGCCTGGAATTTGAAAAGCTTTGCAACGTTCACACAATTCATTGATCTGTTACTGTAGAAAATAATACTGTTCTTAACAGCCGTCTCCATTGTAATTTGTGTTGTACTACATCGTTAAGCAGTGAAATTAACGATCCTGCGAGCATGTAGTACATCTCTGCAGTCACTTCAGTGCACTCACATTCTTAATCACCAGAAAATTATTGTTGAATTAAGTTTTGTAAAAACGTTTGCAGAGTCTACGTTCTTATTTAAAAAGGAAAGCATCATTTAAATCGAAGATAGCTGTCTTCTGGGTTGTAGCACCGTGTAGTCTGATAGGTGTTTATTTCTTAGTTTTTTTTATTCTGAACGTAGTGATGAGTAGCCTCCACATAGAACTTTACTAGGATTTGAGGTTTTCACGTGATGAGTACGTACGTGGACGTCTCGTGGATTGTAAACCGCTAGCCGGTAATCCCAGATGACAGCCATCACATTACTAACCGCCGGGAAAAACCAAAAATGCCAGTAATCATCAAAATATTTAAATTGACTCACATCGTGATAATGACTAACTTTACAAAATTATATCAAGATATTAATAACATTCACAAAATGGGACAGTGTATTGAAACAAAAGACCACTCCCTTATTTGTGGTCTACTGCGTACTTTTGTACAGCTCGGCAAAATATTTGCAGTCAACGTGTTAACGTTTGACGATGTTAAACCGAAATAGCGTAATTTGTCAGCTTTCGTAAGTACGATAAGAAAAGTTCTAATTTTCGGAGTATCAGAGTGGCGTTAACCTTTTCAGTGAGCAGATATACGTTTTGTATTACGTGTGAAGAACGCATAATTAATTAATTACCATCATAGCCGATTATTTATTTTAATCCGTCTTATCACAATATTTAAAATTTCTTATAATTAAGATAATAAAATATCATTGATGTTCCATATCGATTGATCGATTTACATTTTGGAACATGTTCCAAAATGTAAATCGATCAATCGATATGGAACATCAATGATATTTTATTATCTTAATTATAAGAAATTTTAAATATTGTGATAAGACGGATTAAAATAAATAATTGTTATAATATTCACAATATGACGCAATTACACTATCTTATGAATCATAGCCGATATTGATCCGGAATGGAATTTTACGCATTTACAAGTATTTGTACCCCAACCTACTATTCTTCCTCCGATAAAAATTACATTGTGCAATCAGTTAATTTTGTGTTCCTTGAAAGCCTTCAATCTGTCAAATAGAATGAGATGTTGAATGGTTATAGGCCATAATTGGTAGATATGACATCATAAAGTGTATGGCACTGTCTTTCAGTAGCGGTCAGAAAGATATGTGATTTAAGTCAAGGCTGTAAATTGATGGTGCAAAAGTCTGTCACCTATTCAGGGCCACTTCATGTCCGCTTATATAAAGCAGGGTAGATGTCTTTAAGTCATTCAGTGGAGGGGTGTCTGTGGTGGTGCTTTGTCACTAAGTTTAATCTTACAGACTAATAAAACAGTCAGCTGAGCCTTTGTTAGATGAGATATTCCGCTAGTGTGGGGCGTAAGAACTCGTATAAATTGTACTTCAAGGTTAAAGTGATAGAATCTTCGAATCACCATGAAGCCAGGAATTATAAAAAAAAATCATCACTGTTTGTCAGTGTGAAACGGATTACGAAATGAGAACGAGGTAACAGGATTAAATGTATTTGATTGTTGGTTGGTTGGTTGGTTGGTAAATTTTTCGATAGGTCAAATTTGGTCCTGCTGCGAAAATGGCTACTCTTGCCTGTGGTGAGAGCGAATGTTACTGACGAAGTTCTGAGCACTGTAGGACCATTAGATTTTGTGACAAGCGACGATACTGATGAATTTTGATACTTTTCTACTTGGTACACTTAATGATTCGATCAAGAGAGTGGATTATGTAGTGTCCAGTGATATAATGAATTTTAATTATTTACTTATTTTCGAAAATGGGCTGTAGGATATCAAAGAAATAGCAGAAGGATAGCAGGTCGAGGTTAGGTTTACCCTGTGAAGCCAAAGCTCAATATAAATAAGATAGTATAATTGCGTCATATTGTGAATCAAATATTAGATTAATTATTCGGTTTTGTCCGTCTAATCACAATTATATTTAAAATTTACAAATAAGATAATTAAAATATCATTTTATGTTTTACGATTTACATTTGGAAATGTAAATCGATTATTCGATATGGAACATAAAATTATATTTTAATTATCTTATTTGTAAATTTTAAATATAATTGTGATTAGACTGACAAAACCGAATAATTAATCTCAATATAAATGTATTTTCATATTTAAGCCCGTACTTCTCTATCGCATAGATTAACTTGTTAATACTGATGAATAAAATAATAGCTGTTTACACTAATAACCACACAAATTAGAAGTACCAAATGAAGAATTATTGATAAAGTGGGTAGTGTATATATAGTTCAGGGCCTGAATGTTCATGCTAACCGTGTTCGCCCGGCTAACACGGCTTCCCGCCAGCGTAAGGTTCAACTAGCTGGCTATCAAAGCTTGGCTGGCTGGAGTTGTCTAAAGACGTATTTTACCCGATCGGTTCTGCTGTGTTCCAGTGTATGATGTACCACTGAACCACGAAAGTAAGACAGAAAGCTTTTTATTTTGATTTTCTATGCCGGACTAATATGGCTAACATTCATTCTATGCCCTTGATATAGTTACCACTGGGCTTTAAAGGGTTGATTGTACCATATACTCGAGCTCCCAAGCGTCAATTTTGAAACAGGTATCACTGACATAAATGTAACTGCAGTGTCTTTCATCCGGGGTTAATTCCTGAAATAAATTAACATCCAGGCCAACGAAATATAGTGCATCGTTAAGCGCCTGTTTGTAAAAAAGTATGCACGTTGGATGTAGCCTGAATGTAACATTTGTTTTATTGTTCCTAAATTCTGAGATCGGCTACGTATCCAAATTTCCGGTTTTATTAATCATCTCCCGAAACAGCTAAACTATAGTAGCTGTCTTCTGGGTTGTAGCACCGTGTACGCTGGTAAAAAATTTACCAACGTTTCAAAAGTCTTGCTGCCTCCATCATCAGGGCGATGAATAATATTCATCGCTGTGAAAACCTCAAATTTTACTAAATGAACTAACTTTATATAACAAAGTTACTGTTGAGAAGCTAATAGTTTGTCAGTAACTGAACCAACCAACCAAAGAGTTAAATAAGAATGGAATCTTGAACTAAAGCAAGACGTCATCCCTTGATAGGTTAAACCATTCCTGCGTACGAGAAGCATATTTGGAATTGGTAAACGGTGCCTTATAAACTATAACAGGGGACGTGCTTACGCTAAACGGACTATTGTCTTGGCTGAAAGCCTAGACATGTTCAGAATAAGGCTTATTACTTCTGGTTCAAGAATCACCCCATTAAGCAATTTTTCCTTTGAGAAAAGAGCTTTGGTTGGATGGATGTCCGGGTGTTGAATCCAGAATGGATTATGACCAGTTTAGCTAAAGGCCTCTGCGACTTAGGGGTGAGGTCAGTTCGATTGAAGGTCTTCATCATTATTGGGGGTAGACGGGACGTGTCCCTTTTTATTTATTCCTTCGCATTTCTTTTACAACTAACAGCCAATCTACGAGGGTAGCCGATTAGTGATAGGCACTATTAGTTGCGTCTATTTGGCTACCTTGTTAGGTTGGTACACTTGTCTTCCAAGTTGCAGAATGAGAGGTTCCTCGAATCAGCTGACTTTGAGTTAAAATTTTCGGTTAATGCTCTTATGGTCGGTAAAAATGAAGTCCCCCAAATCCTATTGAAATTACTTGTTACTAACGTACCAAGATGCGTTGGTTTCAATACGTAGACTCTTGATTTGCAATATCTGCTGCTTCCGGGCATGGCCGCTGGAAGCGCTCCTCCAAATGGGGCAATCATTGTCCATCGAAGAACGGATGAGCGCACTGTTTCTGATGGCCAGACCATGTCTCCTGATAATAAATTTTCCGTCTTTTATAGAACCCCGTAAGTTCATTACCTTATTCACAAGAGCGGATACCGAATACTGCCATCAACCAGACAAATCCAACCCGATCGGCGTAACTATTTTTATAAGATACGTTGCATTTTATATATACCTGTAAAGATCTCAATCTTTCTCTTGGTCTCTTCCTTTTGGTTTTCCGATTAAACTTTGTATGAATTCTTTATTTCTCTCATGCGTGCTACATGCACCGTCAATTTTATCCTCCTAGATTTGATCATGCAAATATTTTTTTAAATAGCATGCATTATGTAAGTGAGCAGTGCAATTCTGATTTGATTGGGTCTATCTTAAGAGCAGCAGGGATTGTAACTCAGAAATTTCGTGTGAGACGACTTCCAAATATGTAATTACGCCTTTCAAAGGCAGAGATTTTAACTTCATCATTGCGTACAGAAGTTATCTTTCGAAAACATCTGCGGGATGGGCACAAGTTTGGAGTTAGTTTCAAGGCTGCTGCACTCGACGTTTCAGGAGGATACGATAAGATTTGTTCTCATAAATGTGCTCTTCAGCGCTGACGGACGCTACCGGGGACGGAAATGTCTATGTAATGTATACTGGAAATTGGTCTTTTTAAGGTTAAAATAAAATAGATAATCTAAAAGAAAAGCATATTTTATTAGATTGTACAAAAATAAACATAGGTTGAATTGCAATAATAACAATTGTTTTCCTTTGAGTGTGGTAAACAGTTCTGACAATATTGCATTAATATCTTCTTTCACTTACATTCGTGTGGTGGGATACAAATACCATTTTTTCGGTCCGTCTCTTTAGAAGTCAGACTAACGCCACGGGATCCTGAACTCTGTGGTGTAATCACGGTAAATATATTATATAATCTCTGTTTTCTCTATGTAATTTGCCACTTTTATGTTGTGACTATTTTTTTTATGTATTTTATAATGTCCTATAGATAGATGCGTAGAAAGACATTTAAAGAGCTTATGTGTAATTCATATTTACAATACAAGTGCCTGTAAATTGAGTAAGGATAACTGGGCTTAGAGAAAAAACTTTGAGGTTATGTTAACACAAGACAATGAGCAGGCTCCGTAAGATATTGATGCAATATCTTGTCGCCAATGAATTCCAAGTTGTTCCTAATTGGGGACGAGGCGCTGTTCGATAATGTAATGTCTTTCTGAACCTGCCATTAGTTGCTAAGTTTCAATAAACAGCAAATAGAACACGACGGTTTCAGCAGGGCATTGCATTACCGAAAGGGCTACATTCGCTGATTCAGCTTAACCGTAGATCGCTGCGTTTGCTTGTGCGTGGGCAGCGAAATGAGCAGCTTTAGCAAGTGCAACTTCGGGTGTATCAGCAGGGACTCCGTTGATGATAGTAGGAACGCCAGCAAGAGGACCGATGTAGGCACCGGGGGCGCCATAAGCTGCATATCCAGGATATAGGGGGACGGGAATCCCTAAGGCTTCGAGGTCGGGGGCGGCAGCAGCGGCGGCAGCTGCAGCGTTGTAGGCGGCGAAGTGGGAAGCTTTGGCGGCAGCGACTTCCGGGGTGTCGGCGACAGGCTGGGGTAAGATTGGACCATATGGGTAGCCCAGGAGACCGGGACGAGCGTACGCAACACTCACTGCCACCAAGCAGAAGAACACGACCTGAAAGAAGTAACTTATTTTGAAATTGTAGCAGATTAGTGTAGGGGCAATGCTTTATGCCAATGTTTTGGCGATACCCGACACGAATATGGACATTCACACCCAACAGATAGGCTTTGTGTCTTCTTACCCCTTTTTTACCTGAAAACGAAAGCGGAATTCAGCTTCCAAAACGATGTAGTTTTATGGTTACATATTTAGACGATGACGAAGTCCAGATATCAATTTTACTTATTATTCTACTGAGTTTCTTGTGATTTTCTTCAGTCGCCCCAAGTGAAGGCTAAGTAATATCTTCCTAATTCCACAGCCGCCTCGTTCTAAGTCATTACCCATACAATTCATAATCTAATCATGTTTCCATCAAATTCGACTCCACATAGCTTCTAATATTCTGAGAGTCGTTAAACAACCATATAATCAATCTATGATATCAACCCGATTACATTTATTTCTCAGATATTTAAGAAAATATTACTTTTCACTAAGCCAGAAGGAATAGCTCAGTAATAGACTGACGTCAGGCTAGGCGACCGTGGTTTGATTCGCCACGGAGGTACGAGAGAATTCTCTTCATCACTGTTTAGAGGCTGGTTCTGGGAACCACGCAGCCTCCCATTCAGTAGGTTCCGGGAGCTCTTTCGGAGTAAATCGGCTGCAACGTGAAGCTGACCGCTCGCCTCCAGCTACAGCCGAGGTCTAGAACGCGCAGTTATAATAATCTAGTCAGAGTAATTTTTCCTTATTTTATCCTCATTAGTTGACCATAAATGTTATAAGAAATACTTTTGGTTTTGTGTTATTTAATAAGACACACGAAAAATATTTTGAGGATATCTGCTGTCGTTACTGACTTGTATCTGCACCTGCAATGTGTTAGCAACTAACTCTGGTAGTGGAACCCAGATATTCAACATCGCTACTAACACAACAATTTATCGTTCACGACTCTGAGTATGTTGTCTGCTTGCCATCCTCACAGCCTCTTAATGTTATCTCCCATCTCTTGTCCAGTCTTCTAAATAGCCTTTTCCAGAATTTTGTTTGAATACGTTTTCTACAATTCTAGTCACCTAACAAGGTCATTGCAACCTCCTAGATGTCGCTTCTATATCAATATCAGGTGACATGTATAAATCTTATTAATGAAGTTCCTATTTGTGTAACTTCATAATTTCCCACTCTGTCCTTATTAGATGCAAATATTCTTCATACGCATTTTGTCTTCAAACATTTGTAATCTGTGTTCATTCCTCAATATAAAGGACCATAAGAAACACTGCAAAAATTGATACTATTTCATATCCTTATATTCCAAATTTTACAAAACAGGCGGGTTGATAAGTTTTCGAAGTGAATAGTAAGAATTATTTCCAAAATTTATGTATTTTCCAAATCCAAAACAAGCATTATTTATACAGCATTTTTTTAAACATGTTTCCGGATACTTGTATTTGTTTGTTCTACTGTTAGCAGAGCTGTATTTACGACAAATACACACGAGCAGCATTGACAGACGTGACATCTGAAAATATTCTATAGGAATTAGCCCAGGAATTCAATTTGAGCAGCTTACCTGAAGACACTTGTTCATTGTTGCGTGTCCTGTAACGAAGATTCAAGTCCAAGAAGGTACTGGTAACGCTGCTGGTATTGCTCCAGAACTCGCTAGGAAGGAAACTGTAATGCCTCCCATCCTAATGAAACCTTTATATACTTTATCACCGATCCAGAAGGCGATTTGTCCTTCGCTCTGTATGTCAGAAATATGCCTGACACTCCTTCCTGGGGACGGTTCACCTTCCATCACATGCCCCTCCTTGCGTGGCTTCCAGCCTGATCCTGTTGCAACCAGAAGCCTTGTTGCAGCATTATGAATTATTTATTTATTAGATAGACAATATATCGAATGACATACCAAAACGTAATTCAACCATTAATAGACACGTGTGATGAAGTAGCCTACACGTAAGTTCATGATTAGGCTTGTTTCTTGTCGACTTAAATGTAATTGCTGTGTGCAGTATGGTTTTATATATTATATACTTGTAATATTTAGTATTGCAGTCTTAAAGCTGTGATATATTATTCATCACCATCAATTTCAATGTCATGGACTAGATATCGCTTTAAGAATTACGGACTAATTTGCTCTGAAAAAACTTTTGAAATTTGTAACGTAAGTGAAAATATCTGTGGTCATCATATTTTGACATTTAAATCTCTAAATGTGTGGTTTTTGACAACGGTAATTGTAAGTTACAATGAAAATACAGAAAGCAGATAAGGAATGTTTTTAAATTAACTCCTCGCTGACTCAGAGATAAATATATATATATATATATATA